TCTTTCCCTTGAGTCAGCTTTTCTCTCATTTAAAGTGTAGAGATAGGAGGGATTTAATTAGCCCAATGCTTGGCACATTGCACGCACTCCATAAATGTCTGTTGAGGTTTGGAATTCTCTTTAGATGAAGGTCACTTTTGCTATTACTATTAATTTATGAGCATATCAGTAATTCCTGTGCTGATAATATTGACAGTGAACAAGGACTTCAGAAAAGTTAACTCATAATTTACAGGAATCTATCATAAGAATTCGGATTTTCAACAACTGTCCCATTTTGAACGTATTCACTATTGGTTTAATGTTCTAAGGCTGTGATTCTACGTATAAAGCTCTGGGATTCTAAAAGAGTGAAGAACTGCAGCGATTACCTGGATATTTCCACTGGAAAGAGAGAGAGAGAGAGAAAGAGAGAGAGAGAGAGTGTGTCTGTGGTCTGTGGGTGTGTGTAAGCCCAGACTAAATATAGAGTCTTCATTCTTTATGTAAGCTACTTAAGGGAAAGGATATTGTCTTAATTTTTATCTCTATAGCAAAGTTATTATTGCTAGTTTAAATCCAAAACTATGCATAAATTATGAACAGTTTAAAATCCTCTTAAAAATAAGTTTTTAAAAAAGACTTTGCCTAACATATTGTTTTTACTGACATAGAAAATTTTTCTTAGCTGTTGCCACACTGAACATTTCTTACTGATGATCTATGTTATGATGATGGCAGTAAGCAGAAAAAGCTTAAGGAAATACACACAGTGCTGATATTTTACTAAAATGAATGTAGCACTAATTCATAATCATAATTCAATTTTTAAGTAAAAATCGGACTTTCCAGAGTGTCATTCCCTTAAGGCTGAATGTTTATAGGCCCAAAGCCTATGTGAATTTACACAGCTGTTTTGAGGCTTTGCATATTTCCTTGTTTTAGGCGCTTTGATTTTTTTTTTTAAAGGGGCATTTTTGTACTGAAATAAAACACAACTATTAACACCAGACTCAAGGGAAAAAGAAACTAACAAACCTACAGCTTAAAATGTTTCAATATTTTGCCTTTAAAATCTTGTATCCTTTAGAAGTTGGAAAAGTAAAAGCCACCCCCTGCCAAAAAAAGATGGAGGACAAACTGTCATGATTTCAGAAAATGATAGCAGAATGGTGCAGGTGTTAATACTAGAAAGTTTGCCTGTGAGTAAAATGGTACCTCCGTAACAGCCCCTGTTTAAATGTTTTTGAATCTTTCCTTGGGCACGGGTGCCTCTATATTGCCACCATTACCACACAATGCGAGCAGTACTGCAGAATGTTTTCTGCATGATACCCAGCCAAAAGTGAAACAAGTTGCCTACAGACAGAGAGGCCATTTATAGAACATATTTGCTCATACCAGCGCTAGGCAGTAACTCAAAGGCAATGCAAAGAAGTCATTTCTCTTTACCTTGCTGGGTACCACTCTGACCTGGAGAACCATGTACACATTCTATGTCAAAGAGGTGGTGAAAGCCACACTCCTTATATCGACGACATCTGGAAGAAGAGACAGTTGTCACGGTGAGCTTTGCAATTACTCCTGAAGACTGTGAGACTCAGTAGTTCAGGATGATTGGATTACACAAAAAATGAGACAGAAGCCATCTGTGAGCCACGCATAAGCTACTGAGTGCCAAAATGAACATCTTTATTAGGTGACTGAGTTCTCATACCATTTGTAGTTTGGTCAAGTTTGAAAGGGGAGTTGATTGTTTTCAGACAAGGCTGCAAATAGGTAGGGACTTGAAATTCTCCCTGGTTGTGAGAGTAATTACTGTCTCATACTTAAATTAGAGACATGGCTTTTCACTTAGGAAGTCTTGAGGTTGACTCCAGAGGAGGCTGCTGCCATCCATGTTAAAGCATGACCTGTCCTCTCTGTTTCATTTGCAAAGATCAGAGACTAATGGAGAAAGAAATCATTACTCCCTTTCACATCATGACCAAGCAGTATAAAAATTCTCACTTTCTGTTGGGAGCGGAAGGATTTTTATGCTCCAAAATAATGGCTTTTTTTTTTTTTGCGGTATGCGGGCCTCTCACCGTTGTGGCCTCTCCCATTGCGGGGCACAGGCTCCAGACGCGCAGGCCCAGCAGCCATGGCCCACGCGCCCAGCCGCTCCGCGGCATGCGGGATCTTCCCGGACCGGGGCACGAACCCGTGTCCCCTGCATCGGCAGGCAGGCTCTCAACCACTGCGCCACCAGGGAAGCCCCAATAATGGCTTTTATACAGTCAGTGAAATGTTTTTAAGAACTGCCAAGATGCAGTCAGTACTGGAACTCCATGCCTCTCTGTGCCCCAAAGCTCCAGAACCAGTCCTGCATTTACCACGTTTCATCCCCCATCTTTTGATTGGCGCTCACTTGTAGATGGGAATTCAACTGTGTTCTGTAGTTTTTTTTCCCATTACGGTATCTTCTTAACCTCTGTATAGATCACATTATGCAATACATATCCCCATACATAGGAGTATGGCTCTGGTAAAGGTGAAAAGAGTATCTTTAGCAAGCCCAGTACTTGATATTTTTCTTCTGGAAATGTTTTAAGTTTGACTCTCATAATGCATATTAATAACACTATCAGTGCTCTCTTATTAATATGCCTTAGATAATTCCATTAATATGTGGCTGCCCTGAATCTCTACTTACATTGTGAGTTCTTGCAGAGAAAGGCTCTTCTGCCTGCTGGTAACTTTGGAACAGCTCCCAGTATCTGCTTCAGATTTTGACAAATGGTGGACCTTCAGTAAATGTTGATTCGCTGTTTGAATCCAGAGCTTTGCCCTGTTTGTAACAGCAGCCGGCCAGCCTTTCTTCCTAAAGAGGGCAGTGAGTCATAACCCAGTGCAGAGCAAAGGCCCTGTGCTCACTTGCTCTACTCCCAACACATTCAGAATGTTTTGTGTACAACTCAGACTCCATCGGAATTATTTAGTTCAGTAGTATCCACCCCAAACCTATCCCCTCAGGAAGTTGGCACTATACATTGGGAGCCAATACTAATTTTATTATAACC